AGGTCCCTTCCGACCCTAGAAACTATGAAACTATGAAACTGCTGCTTGGTCCCTATTTGCTGCCTTCCCTTACTTGCTGAATGCAGAGGGGCTTAGAAACAAAGGCTTCTCTTTCTTGAATGTAGAGTCATGGCTCTTTGGCCAAATGGCGAACTATTCTCCTAGGATTCTCCACTTCCATTTGTAATTTTTTTTGTAATGTTTTTCTCCTATCAGTTGTGTTCCTCATTATCTTTGATTTGGGGGGATTAGATGATTAGAAACACTGATCGTGTGATGTGATGTCATGGCCATACAATTACAAGTTTAATCTCTTCTCTTTGGCAGTATGGAATGTAATTGGATCACAATCACCTTGCGCTAAGCAACCTCCTGGCTATTGTCTCCTAGCATCAAAAGCTTTGCCCCATGATTGGCTATGTCTGTCTCATTTGAATAAAAGCCATATCTGTCCTCCCAGTAGGGTTGGAGTATTGTTGTAGCGATAATGGTCTGGGCAATATGGAAGGATCAAGGTGATTTTAGGGACATCTTTTCTTGGACCATATAGGTGGGAAAGAATTCCCCACTTCAATTTCTATTTTTTCTGTCACCTTTTTCTCACAGTCAGTCTTTTTGTTTAATTAGAGAAGTTTCTGGCCACCAGGTGCCCTTCTTTTGTGCCTTTGTCTAACATTGCTCCCACATATTACACCTGGTCCAATAAATAACACCCCCCAAAATTGCCCCCCCTCCCACTTCTCATTTGCACTGCTTTCGTCAGGCAGAGAGACACAGAGCCCCTAACCCCATGCATGACCTTCCTCAAACGTCTCTGCCACCCTCCTGAGCCCTCCCTGGAAGGAACTGGAGGAAAATCCTGTTCCTCTACTGCCTCCCCCCAGATCCCTTCAGGCACAGCTCAGCTGCTCTGCAGAAACAGTGTAGGAATAGGGAAATGGCAAGAGGAGAAGGGAAGGGAGAACTAGAGCAGACAGGAGAAGCCCCTGTGGAAGTCAGAGGAGTGATGGGGGGAGCTCTTGTTGGGTCTGCAGCTTTGTTCTTGACCCTCAGTGGCTGAGACTTGGAGCAGCTTCTTTACTTTCAGGTCAGCAGCGCCCAAGTCAGAGTGACAGGCAGCTGGAGAGACAGACAGAGCTGCAGGGGAATATGGGGATCAACGCTCCCCGCCCATCAAAAGGGTACAACTAGGCATTTTGTCCTGAGCCCAAACATTGCAGGGGGCTTGAACTGGCTGAGATTTGGCAAACTGGCTTTTATACCAAAGCTACTACCATGTGGTTGTGTGCTAGGGCCCTGTGACCTGGGCCTAAATTACAGACTGTGACTGAGGAAGGCCACAACCCTGAACTCATTAACCACGAGGAAGGGTTGGGGACCAGGCAGAGAGAGGGGCCCAACTGCACTACTTGGCCCAAACGTGAGAGTTTCTGGGGGTGGCACCTGTGGGGCAGAAGGGATGGGCAGATGAGAGGTGGCCCTGGGACCAGAAATAGAAATCAGATTCTCCCTCACCAGTATCAGCTTCAGCCAGAGAGACCTGCCACCATGAAGGTCTGTTCAGGTCTGAGCCTCTGGCCTGGGGTCCTGGAACTTGCCTTGCAGGTGATGTCAGCCCTCTATGAGGTCACTGTCTCTCTGGCCCAATGCCTGATATCCTACCAATGCCTATCTATGAGCTCACAGTCTGCCCCACTCTCCCCACCCAGCCGGCCTCATCCCCTACCCCTTCACTGTATAGTCAAGCATATCCTGTATCCCATCCCTGACAGTGCCCAGTGCCCAGTGCCCAGTGCTGGAGGCTGGTCAGAACAGTACAAGAGAAGCCCATCCTGGACAGCGTGGGGGACTAGTCTAGCCAGAGAGGGGACAGTTCTGCCAAGTCCATGTAGTGAGTGTGAGCTGCCCAGCAGTGCGAGTGACAAAACCAGGGGTGTTTATACACATGCTCCGGGAGTGTGGAGGGACAGTGCTTTAGTTAGCGTAGCCACCATTTTTCATTGCAGGGACGCTGGTACACATGGCGCTGGAGTCTGCTGGAGCACAGTAATTACCATGCTCCAGCAGATGCAAGTCTGCTCCCACACACTGTAATTACAGTACATCAAAGCAGCCTTGCTGCATATCTATAGGTGCCCCAAGTGACCCAGTGACAAAATCACGTGGCAGACACGGGAGTTTAGGGTACAGCCTCTGAATTACCACTACCTAGACCTTAAATGCACTGTAAGTAAGAGAAGAACAGTGGAAAAAAACCTGGTCATGCCCTGTTCACTCTCCCTTTCAGCAGCCACTCCCCAGGCACGTCTACATGAGATGCTATGTCACTGTAGCAACAAGCTACGGCAACATATCTTGTCACAATGGTAACAGCATGGGTGGGCACTAACTGTGACACTACTGTGGTGGTCCCTGGTGGCCCTGAGCTCCCAAGAGGGGAGCAGAAGTCTTGGACACCAATATGCCCTTCATTTCTCCCTGCTCCCAACCAAAGCTTTATCTAGCTGGGTCTTAAAAACCTCCAAGAATGGAGATTTCACATCCACTCTGGGTAACCTGTTCTAGTGCCTCACTACCCTCCTTGTGAAAAAGTTTTTCCCAATACCCAACCCAAAATTCCCTTGCACTGCAACTTAACACCATCTCTCCTTGTTCTGTCATCTGCCACCACTGAGAAAAGTGGAGCTCCATCCCCTCTGTAACCACACCAGGTAGTTGAAAGCTGCTATTAATTCCCCCCTAAATGTTCTTTTCTGCAGACTAAATAAGCCCTGTTCCCTCAGCCTCTGTTTGTAAGCCATGTGTCCCACCCCCTAAACATTTTCATTGCAAAAGAGCCTGGCCCCACAGAAACAGACACCCCAGGTTGTAACCGAAAACTTCAGACCTATGCAGGGAGACACTAGTGGATTTGGAGTCCATTACCTTAACCTCTCTGCCACAGCTACCATGGCAGGGGCCAGCCTAGGGGTGCATGCTGCATGTGGCACTCCACTGGACTGGCCCTGTGTGCTGGCTATCAGGAGGCCATCACAGAGAACAGTCTGGTTTCCTCTGTCCTCTATTGATATGAAACCCAATGCCTTTATGTCCTCTACTTTTCTCTTCAAGAGAAAAATAGAGGACATAAAGGCGTTGGGTTTCGTGTTAATAGAGGACAGAGGACAGTAGCGGAAAACCGGAATGTCCTCTATGATGGCCACCCTAAATCGCTACGGTGCGTCATTATGAACTGTCCCACAGACTGGCCCATTGACCCTCATCCAATACTCCTGGACTAGGGAACCAACTGTTAAGGCAGCTCTCTCGCTTTAACTGGGGTCATCATCGTGCATTCAGTTTGCTGTTTGGATTTCAAGTCTGAGAGTTGTGTTCAAACACAGAGAAGCAGCTTCCAAAAAATTTTATCCATCAGAGATTAAAAAAGATATCAAGACAGAGAGAGAGGTAGCTGCTGTGACCACAGCCTGTGTCCCCTCAAGACTAGGTTACCACACGCTGCTCTGAATCCACCTGATAGTTTAAGGTATGTAGCTAGTAGATGAAGTAGCCCCTACTGCTTATCACATTTCCAGTATTCTGAGTTTTCCACTAGTTGTGTATTGGTTTCCTGGCAGTTACAGGGAGCAGACAGAAGAGCAGCTTGTGGCAGAAAGCCACCTTGGTTTCTCCCCAAAAATGTCTGCCCTGTAACCATGTGTTTAAAATCTCTGCCCTGTGACACTTGATTTAAATCTCTGTGCTGTGACCATTCCATTAGGATGGGCCCAGCACATAGGGGACCACACCCTCAGCCTGTCTCTTTAGGGAACTTGAGCTGGCTGCATTCCTGAGGGAGGGGGAAACCTGCTCCCTCTGCCTACGTGACTGGTACCTGGGTGAGGGGCATCTACCTGGGGAGCTGGAATCTGCCCAGTAACAGGTGATGCATTTCAAATTGGTTGGCTGACAGCCAACTGGGGCTGACCTCCGCTGGCCCGGGTGAATGAGGTCACAGGGGCTATATAAGTTAGGACAG